CAGGTTGATTAGACCGGTGTTGCTCAGTCGGTAGAAGGTCAGACTCAGAACCCAGAAGTTCCAGGTTCGAGCCCCGCTTCGGGGTCTCTCGTCTTTCTTCTTTCCAAGATTAACAGATGAGTACCACACTATGCCTGAAACAGCTGCTTTCGACTTTACTTTTACAAAAATAAGGCACTGCTGGTTGATGGCATGAAAATAGCAATCGCAAATAACAGAAATAGAAATTAACAGAAATTAACTTCTTGGAAAGGGTGCCGAAAATGGCCCTATTATGAAAGTGTAAAGACATGCAGTGGTTACAGACTTTTCTGCTTTTCCAAGTTGGTTACGAACAGGGAGATCATAATGAATAATTGTGCTAACTGCCAACTTGCTGTATTAGAGTTTTTTCTCTATGCGATTCTGACGCTGGTGATCGTTTATAGACCTGCGAACGCGCGAGATGCGGTGAAAAGCGGGGTCGACAAAAAATCGGCCGTAGCCGATCATCGTTTACAAAACATTATTTGATATATCGTTCCGTGAACCGAACACATGTCGTAGCGTAACCGTGGAGGACCAATGTTATGTCGCAGTTGATGCCCACTATTCAAATCATAAATGGACAGCCTGTGTTGCAAGCTAAAGTTCAGCACGTGGTGACGTCAAACGGTCCGATGACGGTCGCCGTGTTGCCTGCCGACATCGGCAACTTCCTGCGGCCTTTCCTGCAGCAGCAGCACCCTCAGCTGCAGTTTCCTTCGTTGCAGTCTTCTTCGCCGGCGGTAAACCCGTTTTTGATCAATATGCCCAACCATGTGTTGTCCATGGACAAGGAGCAGATGATGGCGGCAGCGACGGTGGCGACTAACCACAAGAAGGCAACGAAGCGCCAGCGTTCGAAACGGCCTGAACAACTAACCGCGGATTGTAGTGATCCTTCTGAACTGAAGATCAAGGCCTTTCCACGCATTCAGCCGAAACTGATCGAGCCGTTGCGTGGCCAGTTCCTGTGTTCGGTCGAAAGTCCGTCGTTCATCGTGTCATCATTGGCTGCCGCCCAGATGTCACCGCCACCTGCGGCGCCAGCGTCGCAGAAGCAGATCACCATTCGGCTGAATGACGAGGAGCAGCGCAGCGTCGAGTCGTTGTCCGAACAGATCGCAAGGTTGTCTGCGTTACCGTCACTGTCGTCAGGCCAAGAAGAACTGCTGCGGGTACTGGAGCAAAAGCGGCGATCATTGCTTGAACAAGCTGCACTGAAGCAGATGAAGTAAGCAGTATTTCTGTGTATCTTTTTGAATAGATAGATGGCGGGAGCAGGGTCTATCAGAATTAATCAATCCCAGTGGTGCATGATAAAATCTTTTCAGTAAAGTGATGACATGAGTGAAATTGTAGGAATACCCAGCCCCAGCCTAGAATATGCTTCTTATATACAATATAAGGAAATATAGAGAAATTCTCATTCTTTGCACCGCTAGAATGGGCAGTGTCATTGAAATCTTACCAGCTAATCATACCTCTGCTTAAACGTTCATGTCGTCATGAGGATGACATTTGTTATTGCGACTGCGTACTCGATGGCCACTTTAGGGTGAATGCGGTCAACGCAGCGCTGGCACAGCAGAAGCAGCAGCAAGTCCAGGCTCAGGCTCAGGCAGCTTTCGTTCGTTCTCAAGGCTTCAATGGTGCCACCATAGCGTCGAACAACAACTTCGTGCCATCCGTCCCTCTACCTCTCTTGTCCGGTTCTAGCATTCCGCAGCAGCAGCTCGTTCACGTAAGACCGCTTCTCTGCTTACTGAAATTTCGATAGACCCTCTCTGTTTTTTCAGATAAATGGAACCCCATTTTTGCTTGTACAGCAGCCGAAAACGACGAACACCACGTTGCTGGGCGGCGAAATTTGTGAGGCAAAGGTACGTACGTCACCGAGTCGTTGTCGGCGCCAGGCAATTGCTGTGTGGCGGCTGGCAGTCAATGTGTATTTATACGTGATGAGTCAAGTCAGCCTCATGGACAAACAGCGATGTGCGAGAAATATTTTCCCTAGACATTCGCGAACGATGCATCAGATGATTGTGCTACTGCGAAAGTTCATCTCGTGTTACTTTATACCAATGAATTTACATCCAGAAGCTTAAGCCGCGTTGTGCGGGGGGAGGAGCAAGTTGGTTATGAACAGAAAAATTATTAAAAGGCGTTGCTTTCCATTACTTGTACACGAGTTTATTGAAGCATCATAACAGTATGACAATCAGAACTAACCTCGGTATTATGGGCTTACTAGGAAACTGCTGGTTTTCGATAACCGCCTTTCTGTCATTTCTCTGGATTTACACGGAGTAGTCGCACCGTGTCCTTATTTCTAACTGCTTAGGATTCATTTAAGAAAACCACAGCCGCATGACATTTTAGCACTTGCAGTTCAGATGCGCAAAACAGCAAGATTCTTTTGGGTCGAACAAAAACATGTTCGAACGTCAACGTATCTACCTCAATCCCTATGCTTGTGTAATAAAAGTTCAGTGTCTTAGTATGCTCATGATATCGGGTTAATTTCACTGTCATACTATTATGATGTTTCAATGAACTCACGTAGAACCGCCAAAAGCAATATGTAATTGATGACAGAATGTTTCTGTGCGGTACATTACGTGTGGCGTTGTTTCGCACAGTCAGTGGAAGCGTCAGCTCTTAGTAATTTTTAAGGAAGGTAGCCTGTTCATATCGTTATATAGGATCAAACTCGAAAAAATGTACAAAAGAAAGTGTGTAACTGCTGAATGTCCGTCTCTTGTACCCTTCTACCAGGGATATCATTTATACCACCCTCATTTCCATTGAGGATATGGTGCGGCGCTGATCTCAGTTTCTGTGCCATTAGTCAGGAATGCCTTATTTTAAAGGCAGTGCATGCAGCCGTTGCCAGGTATATCATCCAGCCTCCTGTTTTCCTTTCTCAAAAAATCGTATTCGTTTATCTGTCACGAATGGATTAAAGACAGTGACCATCCTGGGGTTTGGACTCTCAATTTTTTGACTTCGAGTCCGACATTTCACCGACTGAACAGCCTAGTCTGCTATCAAGTCAAAGACCTCTCTGCTCAAAGCTTATGAGGTATATGTCATGTCTTTCTAAACATCATTTACGCTAGCTGAAATCATTGCTAGACAGTGTTAAACAGATACTGTATAAGTAAACTGCAAACAAGTCGTTAGGTAGTTTGTTCATAGCGCTGTGATCGTCGCTGTTGTCAAACAAAATGATGCTTTAGGCAATTGAAAATCATGCAGCAGAAGGCGAGTGCGGTGACGATGCAATGGTGAAGGCGACGACACTGGCGATGGG